TCAGTCCGAATTAGTAGGTCGTATTGGAAATTGTTTACATCCCATATTTACACATTTTCCATTAGTAGCGGAGACGTTATTTTCGCAGGCAATCTTCGAAAAAGTACGGACATACATTCCGATATTGGTGTACGTTCAGTGTGCGATACTATGTCATATATTGGTTAAAATAGTCTCTTTTCTGGGATACCAGACCTGGATAGACTTAGGTACAAAGTGACACTGTGACTCTAGAGCAAATGTGCACGTAGCGCTCTGACAACCAACAGTGACTGGAACACTATGTCATATCGGAAATTGTGTAGAAGTTTTTTTTAAATACATTTCCCATTAATAGCGGCCATACTATTATCGCAGGCGAACAATCCGATATCGCTGTACGTCCGGTCAGTGATTCAACGTCATATTGGAAAGTGTGTAGATCTTTAATATTTCGACTAATATTCCAGTTGTAGTCTCGAAAGTATATACTTGAGCGAACTTCGAAAATGTACGAATATTCGAATAACGATGTACTACATTTCGTTTCCGTGATTCTATGTTTATGTACGTGTATATATACATATATATATATATATATATGATATATATATATATATATATATATATATGTATATATACACGTACATAAACATGTGATTCTATGTTTATGTACGTGTATATATACATATATATATATATATATATATATATATATATATATATATATGATATATATATATATATATATATATCATATATATATATATATATATATATGATATATATATATATATATATATACATATATGGACATGCTATGCTGTGTTATCGAAAAACTGTAATTTGAAAAGAATATATACATCGAACGGTTCTAATTCTATTATACAGGTGTCCGCAAAGTTGGGGTTATCCTTTACACGACGTGTAGATCTTGAAAACATAAGCAATTTTTCTTAGTGCCATATACACCAATATCTTAAGGGAACCGAGATAAAGGGCTCTGCAACATCAAAAATATCTGAATACCGTCCTGTAGCCGCCACCCGCCGCGATGCCCCAGACAGGTACCGGCTACTAGCTGAACCCGACGACAGCAGAACTGGGTCGGGGGTGGGGGTCCGAGTGTCAGGTCAGTATGCAACCTTCAACCGACGGTAAAGGGTCACGCGTATAGAGGTATAATAAATATAATAATAATGGCACACTCATATACCAATAATGAACTCGTTGATATGTTGTTAATTTATTAATGAACGTCTTCAAAATGATACAGAATCGTCGCGAGTGTATGCAGATCTTTTTCCCTAGACGACATCATCCAAGGCCCCGCAGATTTGTGTACCCGGTCCAGAGAGTCAGGGATACGGGCCATTTGGAGGAATATCGAGGTGGGCACAGTGGGAGGTCTAGACAACCACGAATGGTGCTAGTTGAGGAAGAACTACTGAATCGCGTAGACGAGAATCCCTCAACAAGCACTAGAGACGTGGCTAGAGAAGTGCGAGTATCACAAACTAGAGTGTGGCAAACGTCCAACCTGACGATTTTCCAGCAAGAGTGCGGTTTTGTGAGTGGTTGTTGCATCAACATGACAATAATCCGGACTTTTTGAAGTGCATATTGGTGACAGACGAATCTACGTTCACACGTAATGGGGTCAACTGGAGAGTGAGTACTTTTTCCTTTATATATTTTTTTACATGGTCGGCCCTCGTTTCACTACGCATTACCTTTGTTATTTCAAGGGTAGTTGTTTCTGAAAAGGAAAAGCCCAACTTTGCGGACACCCTGTATTAACCTTCGGAAATCGTGGATACCCTTATGTTGACTGATTTCGCTGTTGAACAATAAAAACAATGACACTCCGTTAATTACTATTAACTGTTAGAACAAGTTACCATACACCGATCCGCGGGAAAGGAATAAACGATAAGTAATCAATTTTGGGCAGTTAACATCAATTAAACTCAGAATAACAAAATAAAAAGGATTTTCCGTTGGCAATATATTCGGTCTGCTGTTACTTATGGGCTATAAATGTATAAAAAAAATTGTGTTACTTAATTTTGTTATTTTACAAAACGGTCTTCGTCTTCTTCTTCTTCTTCTGCTACGGTCTTCACACACACACACACACACCCTCCTACCCTGTGCGGTCCCTCCACCACCCCTGTTCCAGGCAACCTCAAACCCTTGAGGAGTGGGGGGAAGAGCAATCAGCTCCTCCCCCCACTCCCGCCCAAAGGCCTGGAGTGGCGCTGCGTTGGTTCAGGCCGCTTGCGCATTCCCCGAGTGTGTGCTGCCGAACGAGCTATCCCCCCTTCCCCAATTTTGCCCCTTTTTCCCGAATTTGACTCGATCGCGCACGCGTCGCGGAAGCGCGTGGTGGACGTTTCTTCCAACTGTCGGTTCTCGACTTTATGGCCGGCCTCTTTCTTGGGGGTCCTGCGCTGGGGGCTTTCGACCTAAGCCCCTCCTAAAGGTTGGTGAGCCTTCGCTCTTTCCTCGTCGACTGGAGTCAGTCAGTCGTCGTCAGTCAGTCATATTTGTAAGTCATTCGTCTCCTGAGGTTAGCCCCGAGTCCGTGCTTGACTCTGGCCACCTCAATCGACAGGCTTCTTTTTGTCCACCCGTTGTACACGGGCTGTTCTTTCCCCTCTTGGGTGTACAACTATTGTCGGTCTTCTCCCCTTTTCTTGGCCTGATCAGCTGCTAGGGCCAAATATCTTCTTGTTGCAGCTGGCTTTTCGGTCTTTTATGACGCCTTATTGTTCTTGGGTCGTAATCCAGGCGGCTTCAATCAGCACATTTCTTTTCAAGAACTTTCTGGCCCTCTCTCTCATCTGGATTACGACCGGTACCTGTCGTAGTTCGTCATATAGCACTCTGTTAGGTACATACCACGGTGCGTCCACCGCTTCACGAGTGCCATGTTTTGTTGAGCTTGGAGCCTCTTCTTCATCGTTTTGGAAACGTAGCCCCAAGCTACTGCTGCGTAAGTCATGATTTGTAGCAGCACCATCTGAATCATGATGGTCTTATTCTTTAGTGACACTTTGCTTCTTCTGCCCGTTAAGGGTCTTAGTTTGGAGCGTGCCATCTTCACTTTCTGCACCCGGTCTTCGACATGGTTCTTCCAAGTGAGTTTCTGGTCCATCTTGACTCCAAGGTATGTGCTGGAGTCTTTCCAGTCGACCTCAACCTCTTCATCTCTTCTCCAGCCTCTCTCCATTCTGGTGGTCGTCATCTTTATTTTGGTCTGAGGTAATCTTCGATTTCTTCGGAACAGTACCCGCTTCGGTCTTCTCGGGTTGAGGCGGATCTTCCACTTGATGCACCATTCCTCTAGGTTGGTGGTCGCTCGTTGCAGATATTCCGTAACCATGCGGGGTCTCGTACTTTCTGCCGCATATGCTGTATCGTCCCGCATACACATACAGTTGCGTTTGAGGAGTCTTCGGGATGTCTGAGCTGTAGATTGGATACAGCAGGGGGTGGTAGAACCGCTCCCTGCGGTACTCCTGCCTCCACAGTCCTCGTCGTCGAGGTTGTTTTACCGATCCTAATTCGGAAATTTCGGTGCTTCAAGTAGGACTTCACCAGTTGGATCATCCCCTTTGAGTATCCGTGGTCTACCATCTTGTAGATCAGTCCGTCATGCCAAACAGTGTCGAACGCCTTTGCGGCATCCATGAACACAGCTCCCACGGCCCGCCGAGTCTGGAACGATTTCGTTTGCCATCTCGACCAGCCTTAGGACCTGGTGCTCTGCTGAATGCCCGCATCGGAATCCGAACTGTTCGTCTGGAACTACTCGGAGTTCTTCGGTTTCGTTCTTCAGTCTTCGTTCGATTACCCTTTCCGCAATCTTGCTCAGTGCCGTCAACAGGCTTATGGGTCTGTAGTTTTGGGGGAACCTTGGGTCTTTCCCAGGTTTAGGAATGTTGATCACCTCGGCTACTTTCCAGTGATCTGGAAAGTACCGGTGTCTCAGTATGGCGTTGACGATGTTGGTAATTGCCATTATCGCTTTCCCTCGGGAGTCTCTTCAGGACTCTGTTCCCAATATCGTCTACACCGGTGCCTTCTTCACCTTGAGTCTTTCGATGATTTCCCTTACCTCGCCTGGAGAGGGCATGTCTTCGATGGCTCTTCCTCCTCTGACAGCTCTCCTCGATCTTCTCATCACCTCGTCGATGAAGTCTTCGTCTTCATCGGGGTGAGTATTGAGAGTACACTGTCTCTGAAGGTTGTCAGCAAAAGCTTCCGCCTTCTCTTCGGTTGTGTACACCATCCCCTGTTCGCTGTGTATTGGGGGGATGGGCTGTCTTCTATTTCTGAGGATTTTAGCCAAGTTCCACATTCCTGGGTCAGCTGGAGATAGTTCGTCGAGTTTCTTATCCCAGGTGCTCTGATGGTGCTGCTTCAAGGCGTCTCGTGCCTGTCTCATAAGTCTGTTTGCCACCATGATGTCAGTGGGGCTTCTGGTCTCCTGGGCTACTCTTCGGGCTCTGTTTCTTCGGTGATCTTGCGATTTTACCTCGTCAGGTAGGTCCCTGAACCTGTTTGGTTGCGTTATGTCTTCCACGGTGGTTGCGGCTTCTAACGCAGCCTTAATCTTCCTTTCTAGGTCCGTGACCGCTTCTTCTATGCTTCGGGGCTTTCGATCTGTAGTAGTGGTCCTTGTGAATAGTGCAGTCTGGTTCTAAACCGCTGCCAATTCACTCTCTTCACTGTTCTTTGTTCCACAGGTGTTATCCCATCTCCCGTACAGAGAAAGATGGGGTTGTGGTCTGAGCTTCCCTCTTGCATGGCGCCGATGGTGGTGCGCATGTCGATTTCCTTCAGAATCGCCATATCTATGACGTCTGGTCTACCTCCGTTGCTGGGTATTGTAGGTTCGTCCGGACCTATCATGGTATATCCAGGTTCATCCATTAGTCTTTCCAGAACAGCGCCGTGACTGTTTCTGTTTCTTGAGCCCCAAATGGTGGACTTCGCGTTTAGATCACCTACGATCACGGTACTGTTTCCCAGTGCAGTGATACAGGTGACATCTTCCAGATATTACGGACTTCTATACTATATATATATATATATATATATATATATATATATATATATATATATATATATATATATATATATAGAGAGAGAGAGAGAGAGAGAGAGAGCGAGAGAGAGAGAGAGAGATAGATGAAAAGATTAAAATAACGACCACAGCTAATTATCATTTTGCATTTTATCATAACATAGTGGTTCTGAAAAGAACCGTTTTTTTTTTTGTTCTTATTTTCGAACCGTATAACCGTCGAAGCGAATACAACGTCTATATTATTTGAACTGGTGTACTTGGTGACGGCTTTGGTACCTTCGCTGACTGCGTGCTTGGCCAATTCTCCCGGTAGCAATAGTCGTACGGCTGTCTGAATTTCTCTGCTAGTTATCGTGGCACGTTTGTTGTAATGTGCCAATCTGGAAGCTTCCGCAGCGATACGTTCGAAAATATCGTTGACGAAGCTGTTCATGATGCTCATCGCTTTGCTGGATATACCCGTATCGGGATGTACCTGCTTCAGTACTTTGTAGATGTAAATTGCGTAACTTTCCTTCCTCCTCCTGCGCTTCTTTTTCTTGTCAGATTTTGAGATATTCTTCTGGCGCCTTGCCCGCTTTTTTTGGCAGCCTTACCGCTAGTTTTGGGTGGCATTTTATTGTGAGATGATGCTGAGTATAATCGACACCAACGCTCGACTAACGGAACGACTGGAACAGGAACACAAAGTTCCTAAGCGAACCCACCACCTCCCCGGTCCAGGTACCCTCACTCTTTCCGGCCCCAGTGGCGGTACGTGGACTGGACGCTCCTGCAACTTGTGTTCCTGTCGGACGCAAACCCCACCCCCCACCCAATTTTGCCCTTTAAATTTTCGCGCTTTTCCCCCCCTCGGAATTTTGCCCCGCCGAAAGGTGTGGTAAGCTAATCACGACGCGGAAGCACGGCTGCAGAACGGAAGTGGTCATTTATACTCGTGTACCTTTCTCCGGTTTTACGAGTCGTCCTCTATTTGGGTTCCATCGGTGGGACCTTGACCTGAGGTCCGCATTAAGGTTTCCCAAGACGGCTTTTGGGTTCTTCGGTTTTTATTTTCTTCTCTTGAGTGTTGCCTCCTGACCACGACCGACAAATGCCGAAGTCGTCAGAAGGCCCGCTTGTTAGTGCCATCTAAATGCCCCGCACCTCAAATGAGATCGGTGCATTCAGCATGGCAAATCTTCGCCGTCTGACCACCGGTACTGCACAGGACTTTGCCTATCTTGCATGCAGTACCTTCCTCGCGAGGTTCTACCCCTCTTCTTTAGGACTCATCAGCTGCTGTGTCCCAATCTTCTAGCTAGCAGCTGGCTCTTCGGTCTTTTGTGCCTATGTATGAACCTTGGATCGTAGTCCAAGGCGGCCTTGATGAGCTGGTTCTCGTGTTCTTCGGCGTTGTTGAAGAACTTCCGAGCTCTGGTCTTCATCACTTCGAGCACTGGCACTTGTCTCAGGTCTTCGTATAGCACTCGGTTTGGCACGTACCACGGTGCGTTGACCGCTTCTCGGAGTGCTATGTTGTGTTGTGCTTGGAGCTTCTTCTTCCACGTCTTGGCTGCGTAGCCCCAAGCAACTGACGCGTAGGTCATAATCGGTAGGAGCACCATCTTGATCAGCAGCATTTTGTTGTTCAGGGAGAGCTTGCTCCTTCTTCCAAGCATCGGTCTTAGCTTGGCTCTTGCCATCTTGGCTTTCTGCACTTGGGCTTCTATATGGTGTTTCCAGGTGAGACCCTTATCTATCTTGACGCCGAGGTACTTGCTGGTGTCTGTCCACTGTACCTCTTTTTCTTCGTCACGCACCAGGCCTCTCAGCACTTCTGTGGTTGTCATCTTGAGGTTGCCTTCAGGGGTCTTGCGGCTCTTCTGAGGAGCATCGCCTCGGTCTTATCTGGATTTAGCTGGATCCTCCATTTCTTGCACCATTCCTGTAGACTGGTTGTCGCTCTTTGTAGGTAAGTCGTAGCCATGCGGGGCTGAAATGACTCGGCTACGTACGCAGTGTCGTCCGCATACATCAGCAGCTGCGTATTTGGGGTCTTCGGAACGTCGGAGCTGTAGATGGCGTATAGTAGAGGGGATAGGACCGCTCCCTGCGGTACCCCAGCCTCTGCAGTTCTGGTCGTCGAGGTGGTGTTTCCCAGTCTAACCCCGGAATCTTCGGTTCTTCAGATATGACTTCACCAGCTGAATCATCCCTGTCGAGTATCCCTTGTCTTGCATCTTATAGATGAGTCCGTCGTGCCAGACGGTGTCAAATGCCTTCGCGACATCCATGAACACCGCCCCCGCGACTCGCCGAGCCTGGAACGCACGCGTCCCACACTCCACGAGCCGAAGCAGCTGGTGCTCTGATGAATGGCCGCTCCGGAATCCGAACTGTTCGTCTGGCAGTACTCTAAGGTCCTCGGTTTGTTGTCTAAGTCTTCGCTCGATTGCCCTTTCTGCAACTTTACTCAAGGAAGTTAGTAAGCTGATTGGCCGGTAGTTTTGTGGGAATTTTGGGTCTTTCCCAGGCTTCGGGATGTTTATTACTTCCGCGATCTTCCATCTGTCCGGGAAGTATCGGTGCCTCAGCATAGCGTTCACGATGTTGGTTATGGCCACCATGCCCTTTCTCGGGAGCCTCTTCAGGATTCTGTTCCCTATTCGGTCGCAGCCCGCTGCTTTTCTGGTCTTTAGAGTCTTGATGATGTCCCTGATTTCCGTCGGGGAGGTGGCTTGCTGCACCATTTCTCCTCCTCTCGTAGCTCTTCTGGATCTTCTTTCCACTTCTTCTACGAAGTCTTCGTCCTCATCTGGGTGCATGTATGTCGTACACTGCCGTTGTAAGTTATCTGCGAATGCTTCGACCTTCTCGTCGTTCGTGTACGCGGTCCCGTAGGCTCCTTGCAGCGGGGGAACTTGTTGTCTGCGATTTCTCAGGATCTTCGCTAGCTTCCACATTCCTGGCTCACCTGGTGTTAGTTCCTCTAATTTTCTTTGCCAGCTGCGTTGATGGTGCTCCATCAGGGCTTTTCTCATCTCTTCGGTCTTCCTTTTTAGCTCTCGTTTGTGTTCTGGGTCTCCTGTTCGTTGAGCTAGTCTTCTTGCCCTGTTTCTATCGGTGATCTTCTGGTTCACCTCTGGGGGTAGGTCTCTGAACCTGTTGGGCAGCGTGATGTCTTCTACCGTGGTAGTAGCATCTAGCGCGTCCTGGATCTTCCGTTCTAGGCCCTGAACTGCTTCCTCTATGCCTTCAGGAGTCTCTATCTGAGGTAGTGGCCGAGTGAGTAGTGAAGGTTCCCGGAACCGGTCCCAGTTCACTCTTCTGGCTATCCTCTTCTCCACGTTTGGTGCTCCCTCTCCTATTTCCAGGATATGGGGTTGTGGTCAGAGCTTCCTTCTTGTAGAACACCAATGTTGCAAGACACGTCTACCTTTTTCAAGATAGCAATGTCATTACAATCAGGCCTTGTAACCGTTGTCTGGGTACAGCGTGGGTTCGTCAGGTCCTAGTATGGAGTACTCGGTTCATCCATCAGCACTCGCAAGGATTTCGCCATGTCTGTTGTTCGTGCGCGAGCCCCAGATCCTAGATTTGGCGTTCAGATCTCCTATGATGACAATGCTCTCGCCCATTCCGCTGATTTGCGTGATGTCGTCCATATGCAGAGTCACCGTTGGTGGTATATATAACCGAGATGATGTTCAGCGTGCCGTAGTCCTCCGTGTACACGGCTATTCCTACTGCTTCTGTAGTCCTCAGATCGGGGATTCCTAGCAGGTCGTGGCTGATGCTGCCTCCTTACGGAGATCAGCACGCCTCCGCCTCTCTGGTCTCGGTCCTTCCTGTATCGTGTACCCTGGAAGGTTCCAGTTTGGAACTCTGCTTGAGAGCATTGTCTCTTAGTACGCCATCACAAATCGTAGTCCCCTCGAGTTAGCAGTTCTCCTATCTCGTACTTCTTGTTGGAAGCACTATGTTACGTTCCAACTCAATATCCGTAGGGTCCTAGATGTTGGCAGGCGCCCATTTAGTTGGCGTTCTCTGTTCTTGCTTGTCATGAATGCCTCCTTGGCTTCGGGGGTATTCATGATGAGCCTCTTCATTTGGGCCATGTGGGTTTCCATGAACCTCTTCAGTTCATCCCCGTCTTCTTCTTCCCGGTTTGTGGAGGGTCTTTCCTGCCTTCGGGGGGCCGTCTCGTTGCTTTTCTGCAGCCCTTGCGTAGCTCTGTCCTGGTCTTACTGGGGCGGGTTCGTGATCTTTCTTCTTCTCTCCGCGGCGGGTTTGCTCTTTGGTTTTGAGCTCGGGCGTCTTGGGCATCCCCCGTAGTTCGCTGGGTGGCTCCCACCACAGTTGGCGCAGGTTGCCCTCTTTCTTGTGGCACTTTGGCACTCCGATGCGCGATGTGCCCCTGCACATCTCACGCACTTCGGTGCCCCGGAGCAGTTCTGCTGGCTGTGCCCGAACTTGCTGGCCCTGTAGCACTGGCCCGGTCCTTCTCTCTTCTTCTGTGCTTCGATTGTTACGATCATCTGACAGCATTCTGTCAGATCGTAAATCCTCTTTTCTTCCTTTGGAAGATCCACCTTGACCAGCGGGATCTTCTTCCTGTTCGCCTGCTGGTGAG